GGTTTGGCTGCATTATTAAACATTAGTGGATGGTTGGTTGCCGTTCAAGAAACAATGACGGAGGTGTCAATTGCTTTCAAGTACTGCCAATGGCCTTTTTTTAGACGATTCCCACTTTTCTTCATTTGCCCAACTGCATTACATACAGCTACGGGCACTACTATCAAGTACAGTGCACGGACAACTCAATGGACACTCGACGGCCACCATTTGAAGCGTTCCAATTTCAGCAAAAGGATGGGGGGCATCGTTCTCATGATTCAGGCAGAAAATCACATAAAAGAGAAGCACGGACGACGGATGCTGAAGGCTCGAATTGAAACGGAGCCCGTGAAGACCATAACAGGGTGTAAACCCAGTAATAAGAAGAGATGTTGTTGGGCCGGGCCTTGCGGAGTTGGGACATTCCTTGCCGGACCAATCTGACATGTGGTGAGTGTAGAGGATGTTGTTGGGCTGGGCCTTGGGGTGTTCGTTCCTGGGCCGCCGTGGCTGCGAATGTCGAAGACTATAGAGTAACACCGAGGGGCCAAGAAGAAGTGGTAGGTTGGGTGCGGAGTAGAATAAGGTTCCGTGCGCCCAATCATGAAGTGCAAGCCCAGAAACTATTGATGAAGAAACTCGCCATCATCAAGGTCAATGAAGTCTGGACGGGGCGGCATTCATAGAATACGAGCGTGGCGAGCGCCTGGATGTCCGAATAGACGCATGCGTTCAAATGTCTCCATCTCTGTGTCTGCCGGTCGCCCCTAAACCCCTCCCCTCTCTCCCCGGGTAGCAATCAGGAGCCGGCTGAGGACGAGCACGCCCCCAGCGCCCCCCTGACCGATGCACCATTGTTCGTCGGCCCCTAGCGCCCCCGTCCGTCGACCTCCAGGCGCACCGTGCGCCCAGTTCGAAAAACATTTGAATGCAACGTACGTCTGAAAGTAGATAAAACATTTGAAACATGCACTTGCAACATGTGTGTAAAACACATGAAACGACCAAAATTGCGACTTGCAACATGTAACCACTTGCTGTAACACAAGATTGAAACAACTGAAATATTTGGAACATACCGTTGAAACATATGTGTGAAACATATGCAACATCTAATGTTTTCCTAAACGGTAAACGGTCTTTACATGGTCGCTCTTCGTTTTGCGTTTAGGCTGTTTACACAGTGTTTAAACGAAGTTAAACGGTCTAAACGGTTTTGTACTTTAAAAAAAATACAAATAATTATATATGTGCATGTAAAATATCAAGTATTCTAGCATTTATACATATTTATCCGAGCAAAAATCAATTATTTTGGTATGTATATATATTTATGCATGTGAAAAGAACCAAATATAGATATTTATGCATGTAACATATCAAGTGTACACATTTATAAATATAATAAACTTAAGTATATAAATTTATCCATACAAAACTGAACTAGATTTACCTCGTGTTCGCCTAAACGGCCGTTTAAACAGTTGTTTAGACCGTTTAATGCCGTTTATCCCCGTTCCGTTTAGACCGTTTTTCCCGTTTTTTCCCGTTTTGACCGTTTAAACGGTCAACCGTTTAATTTCCGTTTACCCCCTAAACAAAACAGTTTACCACCGTTTATCGTTTACTGACCGTTTAATCCGTTTAGGCGAACACTGCATCCAGATAAAAAAAGCGATTGCAACATACGTCTGGAAAATAGATGAAACATTTTAAACAAACGCTTGCAACATATGCAACATCTTCCTATCTACTTCTACAACATCAAGATGAAACAATTGCAACGTACATCTGAAACGTCTGAAACACTTAAAACATACATATGCAACATTGGGGAGCGAAAAGGCCGGGGCAGCAACCCAGAAATCAGGCTTCGAACAGCACCATGGCAAGCGCCGCGGATCTATGCTACGATTCGATAGCCGAAACATGCCTAGTGACTCACGAGAGTGGCAGGCGGGTACCTCTACGGAGCTGCCCCGAACCTCGGGCAGCACGACCTTGTCGAGGTCATTGACGCCCTTGCAGTGCCTGATGGGCGACGCCTCTTGCTTCTCGCCCGCCGGCGGCGACGACACCAAGGCCGACATGCTGTCCTTTGGCCAGGCCGAGCCGTAGCGAGCACCGCACACCGAGGCCGAGCGGAGCGGAGCAGTGGAGCTGGAGGGAGGGAGAGGAAGCGGAAGTGGAGAGAGGCAAGCAGGCGGATGGGCTAGCTCGAGGTTGATTTGTGGAATTTCTGGACAGCGCCCCTGTGCGTGCATGTTGGTTTTTTTTAGAAAGTGCGGATGAGTGGATGAGGATGAGCCACATCCGGATAGGGGTGGACGCCCGTGGGCCAGCATTATCGACAAAATATTGAGCAACTTTTAGCAGGCCACTGTCCTCATCCAAGTGGGCGGCCATCCGGTGGTTGTTCTCCTGAGGCCTCATTTCAATGTATCTGTATATACTTTAGTTCATGTGTATTGGAGTGGATTAGGACAAAAATTAAACTAAGAGCAACTCCAGTAAACTACCTGAACAAACTAGCTATCCCAATTTGGTTAGTGGGGGCAAAAAAAAACTCCAGCCGACTACCTACGAGACCCAACAAATTTGTTGGCTACCCAAATCCCCCTCCCACTATCCATTCCTGTTGGGCCAAAGCAGACTACCCAAATTTCTGCTTGGTCGTTTATCGTACACCCAAATTTATCTTCCTCACGCCCGCTCGACAATGCCGCCGTCTTGCCTCCCTCCAGTCGCCCCAATGCGCCACCAGACCTTTGGGCGGTCGGGTCTGGACCTCCACCGTCGGCCCTCCTCCGCTGCGACCCGCGCCCCGACGTGGTGGCTTGCCCCGACACGGTGAGCCCGGCGCGGTGTCCTACCCCCAACGCGGTGGCCTTCCCCAGCCAACAGGCCTGCCTCCGGAGCAGTGGCTTGGCCCGGCGTGGCGAGCTACCCCGGTGCGATGGCCTTCCCCAAGCTAGTGCGGTGGCCTTCCCCAGCCCACGCGGCGGCCTTCCCAAGCGCACCTCCAGTCACCTCTGGCTCCATCTATGGCGACATGGCTGAGTTAGATAGTGGAGGAAGATGACATGTGGATGAATATGGGTAGTCTATTTTAGGTAGTACTGCTGGAGTTGGAAGCGAAATATGGCTTGTATGAAAATGAGTGTCTACCAAAATAGACATTTAGGTAGTTTGATTTGGGTAGTATTACTAGAGATGCTCTAAGTTAAATACCGATCCACTTCAAAACGCATGAATTGAGATAGATATGAGTGCATTCAAACAAGCCGTGAGATGGAGGTTTGTTAGAGTGAGCAGCAGAATCCGGCCCAGCTCGCTATACCCACGAGCCGGCGCCACTCGGGCCCAGGTCCACCGGAGCCCACAACATACCCAGGCCTTAGGCCTAACTCAACCGAAAAGACTAGCCTGATAGGTGAGGACTGCCCTCGCCTTATATGTTGTGCTCCCCACCATCAACTACCGATGTGGGACTAAACCTAACAATCTCCCCCGTCACACATCGGACCCAACTCTTCACATCACACAGCCCCGTGTGATCTCCGGAAGACATTTTTCAGGCTCCGAGTCCAACGCTCCATATCACACACAACCCGTGTGACCTCCGAGATGTTAATGGGCTCCCCCGTAACCATGTGACCCGGAAGACGTTTTTCAGGCCTCGAGTCCAACGCTCCATATCACACACAACCCGTGTGACCTCCAAGACGTTAATGAGCTCCCCATAACCATGTGACCCCTGATATTTTCTAGGTTTTTTCGACCATGTTGATGGCGCCATGGCGCTGTTTAGGTACCGCAATGGGATTTGTCTTTGTTGCAAGGGCGTCTTAAATGATTTCTCTTAGTGCCGAACTTGGATAGGTCGTAAATTGGTTTGTATAACTTTCTTTATGTTTAACTTCGCAGGTGATCATCGTGAGAGTAGTCTTGCAAGGATCATATTGACCTCGGTAATCCTAGGCTTACTAATAAGATCCTATGTTAGTATGTTGTAATCTTCTTTACCTTTTAACGAAAAACATAGGCACGGTCGCGAAAAATAAATTTTATGAGACAATCTTTGAGTATAGAATGACAACTTTTTTTTTGAACGGAGGGAGTACCACTTTTACGGTGTTCCCATCATCTCTCAGATCACCCTTTGTTCAAGTTAAACACGACTGAAAACGAGGTCATCATTATGGAGTTCCTTGTACACCTTGCTATGTTTCTTAGATGTATTATTGCACATAATTAGGCTCAATACTGGCATCAAGAGACTGTGCTGCATGGATCGTGTGTAAAGAACTTCTTAATGAAGTGAAATGATCTCAATGAAGACCGTCTGAAAGGATCTTGTCAGTCTAACGTATTATAGATCTCTGTACTACTGCTAAGAAATACGAGAAACCAAACAATGAATGAGAACGACTAACAGATTCACTTTTCTCACTCAACAAGTCCAATTAGTGTCGACGGACGATATACTTTCAGGTGATTTTCCCTTGCGTCCAGTTATATTATAATCCTCATTTGTCAATGAAAAATGTACTGAGACAAATTCAGCAAGTTGGCAACGCGTAGAGTGCATTTCCCGTAGGGCCGCTTGGGGAGTTGGGGTGTCAGTTGGCTACTTAGCTGTGAACATGTTTATGCAACTTCCATATATCTTTCATACCTTATCGACTTGTTTATCAGTGTAAGCAAACTTCCATATCTTTCATGACCAAAAACAGCTCTAACCGTGCCGCCGTGCTGTTCAAAACTTCGAAAAATATATCATTCAGTGTAGTGTACACTGTCGTACAAGCAACTCCTTCGCATCACTGCCACTTACTCAACGTCTCCCTCCCTCCCGCCATCGATCGCCTCGACCAACCCTCCCGCCCAGCTCACACAAAAGGTGATCGATCAATCGATCGCGAGGCGAGCACCCCAAGAAAACATCGAGCAAAGCCATTATTGACCTCCGACCAGTTTCCGTTGCAACCAACCACAGGCCGACCGGCGATCGAGCAATGGGCGGCACTCCGCGGAGCAGCATCGGCCACATCCTTCCCGGCGCCGGCTTCCTGGCCGTCGGCCTGTGGCACCTGTTCAACCACATCAGGCTCTTCTCCCTGCGCCCTGACGCGTACGTCGCGCCAGTCTGGTTCCCGGCGCCGCGCGTCCGCCACCTGGAGCTCATCCTCGTCATCGCCGGCAGCGCCGTCGAGTTCTCCATGGAGATGTTCGTGGACCACTCCACCTTCCTGCCGTTCGACGCCGACGGCTCCATCCCGTCCGACCGCCTGCACAACCACGAGCACGCCATCATCTGCCTCGCGCTCCTCGTCTACGCGGCCTCCGCGCTGCACCTCGACCGCGCCCGCGCCCAGTGCCGCGACGCGCTCTCCCTGCTCCTCGTCGCGGTCGTCTTCGCGCAGGAGCTGCTCGTGTTCCACTTCCACTCCACCGACCACGCTGGCTTCGAGGGCCACTTCCACTGGCTCCTGCAGCTCGTGGTCGCCGCGTGCCTCGTCACGGCGCTCCTGGGCATCGCCTTCCCGCGGAGCTTTGTCGTGGGCCTGGTCCGGTCGGCGTGCGTCACGTTCCACGGGGTGTGGCTCATCGTCATCGGCGCCATGGTGTGGGTCCCGAGCCGTGTGCCCAAGGGCTGCTCGCTCGTGGAGGAGGACGGCCGCAACACCGTGCGCTGCCACAGCGAGGCCAGCATGCACCGCGCCAAGGCGCTCGCCAACCTACAGTTCGGGTGGTACCTGTCCTTCATGACGGTTTTTGTCGTCGTGCTCTACGTCAACGTGTGCAGGATGTATCCTGCGGAGACAGCGTACGTGCGGCTGCCGCCGGAAGCCGGCGAAGAGGAGGAACACCTGAAGCGCAAGTGCGGGGTCGTCTCCGGCGACGACGATGTTCAGGGATTCACGCCCTTGGAGATCGAGGTGTAATGTAACTGCACTGGCCGGTTGTAGAACTTGTTCCTGCTTGTACACTTGTACAGTAGCCTACATGTGCCATACGACCATGAATTCATCGATCTGTTCGTATGAATGTAGTCCAAAGTCAAGGTTGATGCATGCGCTGTGTGTTCCTTTTCCCTAATCCCTAAACACTAACACTGTTACTTAGTGGCGTGTTTCCTTTTTTTTAAAGAGTGAGATTTATTTGTGGTATCTGAACTCTTGTGCGGTGATACCATCCCAGTCTCAAACTCCCATTTTTTTATTTCTATTTCTAGGTACAGAAACTCAACCCGGGTCCCGTCAATGGTACAAAGCGTACACCCAACCTGTTTGTCAACGTGGCATGCTAACATAGAACCCTTGACCTATACATGCATTTTTTACAGAAACCTCATCCCACCTGTCGGGGCCCAGATACGCGAGTAGCGGAGGCTAGAGCGAGTGTGAACTAACGATAAGAATTGTTGAATAATGTCATGCAGGGACAACCGGCAGGGCCTTCGCCCTTCATGTTGGGCAGGCAGAGGGTCAGAGCACGGAGGCGGAGACCATCCAGCGAAGGCGGACGCCGCGGCGCCACGGGCGGAGGTTGAGCGGACTTCTCCGTGAGGCGGAGGCTCACTGCGCGGCGGAGATCCTAGGCCGGAAATGGGCCTCATTTGGGCCAATGGCTAAGGCCCAAAAAGTGAAGGCGGTTCAAGGAGGAGAAGGTCCAGATTGCCCCGGGTGGATTGTACTGGCAGAAGAATATTCAGGGAATGTGCCGTAGCAGTTGTAAGGCAAAGATGTAAAAAGGGGGCAGTAGTGAACAACGCCCTATAAAAAGGGGGAGCTGAACCCTGTGAGGGGAGGTTGGCGAACTCATTTATGAAACCCTAGTTGCGCTGGGACCCACCTTTCACTGTCTATCTGCCGAGCCTCCACCTAGGGCACCGACTGGGCGGAGGTCTCCCTACCTATGCTTGCTGGAAATCCCATTTTCCAACATTGGCGCCCACTACGTGTTGGCCAAGCAAAACTCACGATGGCAAAAAAAAAGAGCAGCCTCCGTCAGGACACCCGCGGAGCCCTCGACGAGGCGATGACCCAGGCGTAGTGCTCGCAGCACTTATGCTAGAGCCCCAGAAGACCAAGTTGTAGAAGAGCCCACGGTCGAAGACCAGCCTCCGGCGGCCGAAGATCAGCAAGCCCTAGATCCCACCCCGGAGCAAGTGCTCCAACAATTGCAAACCCAGTTGTAGAGTACACAACAAGAAAGAGATAGGCTGGTTGCAACCTTCGCTGCCAACCAGAGGGCAGCCTAGACATCATTGCAGGCAGCAGAAATTAGGCAACAGTTGGTCGTCTTGCAGGCGGAGATTCAAAGCATGCAGCAAAGCCAGCCCCAATCCAACACATCCAATCAGCTCCACTCAGCAAATCAAAGTCAGCCTAACCCTTCGCTAGGTACGGCCACCCAACCAACCTTCGGCACACCTTTTAACTCACCACCAGTTCATAGAATCATAGATTCAAGATCCCCACTATCCGAAGGAATCCAAACCTCACCTTGGCCACCATCTTACAAGCCCATTACCCTACCCAAGTTCAACGGAAGGTCAGACCCACGCCAGTTTATCATGAGTTTTGAAGTAGTTGTAGCCTCCACGGGTGGGAATGACACTGTCTTGGCTAAGTCATTTGTTATTGTAGCCGAAGGAGACGCATTGGCATGGTACTCAATGTTGAGGCCAAGTTCAGTATATTCATGGGAGGACCTCCGAGACAAGATCATCGCTAACTTCAAAGGGTTCACCATCGAACCTTTGACGTCAATGGACTTATTTTAGTGCAAACAGAATCAAGGTGAAGCACTAAGGGATTATTTTTAGAGATTTGTGCAGCTTAAAGCGAAGGCACCTAATGTCCCAGAGGATGTGGCAATCGAGGCAGCAATTAAAGGTCTCCGCATCGGAGCCTTCACAGCTCATCTAGCTCGGGAGAAGCCAAGCACCATAGAAGAATTATACAGAGAGTTTGAGAAGTACTGCAGGTCAGACAATGACCTCCAAAGAAGGCTAGAAGAACAAAATCAAAACAAGCAGTACCAAGGAAGTGGCAGGAATGCTCAGAGGGGCAACAAAAGCCAAGGCTAGTTACAGCCTCACCAAGCATCTGATCAACAAGTTTTTAACATAGAGCAGCAAGGGAGTAGCCAACAACGGTAGCAGATGTCGAAGGCAGAACCAAACAAAGCATCGCAGAAGTAGTACGAAGGCAAGAAATACAATCAAAGGAAGAGCTAGAACAAAAACCTAGAACCAAGGCAGCGAAGGCAGTATTGCTTCTTTCATGGAGAAAACAAAGGGCACGTCACCAGAGACTGCCCAGATGCGAAGGAAACCCAAGAGAGAATAAAAAACTGGGCAAATCCTCAACCTCCGCCACAACAACCCACCAGGGAGGTCAACCACACTTTCGTTGTGCCTTCGTAGCAGCCATATTGCCTAATCGACCCAAGCCTTAACTCCAATCAAATTCACCCATCCACCTTAGCAGCCGCATACTACCCTAACTTCCTACCTACATGGCAACCAAGCACCCAGCATCAACGGTAGGCAGCTAATCAGCGAGTAGAAGCTAACCTTACCTACATAAACCTAAGGCCTCCGCACATAACATTCATAGAGACGAGCCAGCCAGCTCAAGTAAACAATAGACAACTCGAAGCACTGCCTCCGCCACCACCTGCACCACAGCTAGCCGCCCCTAAAAACGAGCCCAACCAAGAAAACCAGCTCAATCTACATACACCACTACCCATAATTAGCATGATATTGCTGATAGCCAGAGGCTCTTCAATGGAATTCTAGACAAAGAAGCAGAAGAAAGATCATCTCAGGTTCGTTAACAACATACCAGTGCAAGGTTTGGTACACTACATAGATTGGTCAAAGACACCCATCACATTCTTAGAACAAAACCTCTAGCTGGAGAGTTACCCCCATACTGACACTATGGTGATCAGAGCCAATATAGTAGGCTAGGAAATCAATAGGGTTCTCATAGACTCCGGAAGCTCCGCAAACATCATCTTTGTTAATGCCTTCGACCAGATGAAATTAAGCAGAAGTCAGCTACAACCTTCGGATTCACCACTAATAGGGTTTGGAGGAAAGAGAATCAATGCATTAGGTAAAATATCTTTGCTAGTTTCTTTTGGAGGTCAGGAAAATGCTAGAACAGAATATGTGACCTTCGACGTAGTAGACTTCTACTACCCATACAATGCCATCTTCGATAAAGGGTTTGTAAACAAATTTAATGCAACCATCCACATGGGCTACTTGTGTATGAAGATGCCAGCTTTGCCTGGCACCATCACAGTTCATGGCAGCCAGAAGGAGGCAAGAAACATAGATAGAGCCATCTACAAATCACAGTGCAACATTAATTCTATTGAGGTGACAAAAAGCAACTTGCCAGAGCCTCCAGACATGCCGAAGGGGAAGACGGATCTCAAAGATCAAGAAGAGACAAAATCAGTGCCACTGGAGAATGCAGTGCCAGACAGGAAAGTCATCATCGAAAGCAGCCTGTCGAAGGAAGAAGAAGCAGAGCTCACAGAAACCTTAGCCAAGAATAAAGACGTCTTCGCTTGGTCAGCCTCCAATTTGAAAGGAATCAGCAGAGATATTATTCAACACTCTCTTGACATCAATCCAAAATGAAGCCAAAAAAGCAGCGACAAAGGAAAATATCCGAGGATAGAATCTTGGCAGCGAAGGCTGATGTTCAGAGACTATTGGACACAAACGTCATCAGAGAAGTCAAGTACTCAGAGTGGCTAGCGAATGTAGTTCTGGTACAGAAGAAAAATGGAAAGATGAGGATGTGCATCGACTTCACATATTTGAACAAAGCATGCAATAAAGATCCATTCCCGCTTCCAAGGATAGATGTCTCCATCAATAAGGCGGCAGGATGCAAGCGCTTCTCCCTCCTAGATTGTTTTTTAGGATATCACTAGATCTGGCTCAACAAAGAAGATGAGAAGATAAGTTTCACTACTCCCTTCGGAACTTATTGTTACACCAGAATGCCCAAAGGGCTAAAAAACGCAAGCTCAACCTTCGCCAGAATGACAAAGGCAGTCCTTGCCCCGCAGCTGCAGAAAGACATCATAGCCTGTGTTGATGATATTGTGGTAATAAACAAGAATGAAGAAAATCATATAGCAGATTTAAAGGAAATCTTTGCTAACCTCAGGGAAGCAGGCCTAAAACTAAACCCAGAAAAGTGTCTTTGGAGTTAGTAGAGGAAAAATGCTCGGATACATCATAGGATCCAAAGGTATTCGGACCAACCTAGGGAAGACAAAAGTTATAATCTCAATGGTGGAACCATCAACCAAAATGGAAGTCCAAAAACTCACTGGAAGGATAGCAGCATTGAACAGATTTATTTCAAGGTCAGCTGAACGTAGCCTCCCATTCTTTAAAGCTCTGAGAGGCAGAGATAAGGTTGAATGGGGGCCAGAACAATCGAAGGCCTTCTAGCAGCTCAAAAGCTACATGGCTAGTAAACTCTTGGTAATAGTGCCAGATTCGGAGGCACCACTATTGTTATATGTGGCAGCCTCTGACCATGTAGTCAGTGGAGTACTTGTTTAGGAGAAAGAAAAAGAGTCGAAGGTCGTTAAATAGCCTGTCTATTACGTCTCAGAAGCTTTGTCAGGAGCAAGGCTGAATTATACAGAAATCGAGAAAATAGCATACGCTGTCCTCATCTCATCAAGAAAGTTGAAGCATTATTTCCAAGCATATGAGATCACAGTGCCTTCTTCGTAACCGCTCGGAGACATATTCAGTAACAAAGAGGCCTCTGGAAGAATAGGAAAATGGGCAACAGAGCTATCCCAGTTTGAACTCAACTATGTGTCAAGAACAGCAATCAAATCACAAGCATTAGTAGACTTTATGGCGGATTAGACACCGTCAGCGCTT